CTCTTTACTTTTCTGTTTAGCTTTTAAGAAATGCTTACAACTTATGGCTGGCTTGGCTTTTATTTTATTTTTTTTTGTCTGTTCGGCCCGTTGGCGCTTCGAGGCGGCCAACCAAGCATATTTATCAGAGAGTCTTTGTTGGCTTTGTGGTCGTGTTACTACTACAATCGTACATATACTATATATACATTACATACAACAGCTATGCGTGCCTGTGTGTATAAGTGTGAGTGTGTGTGTGTGTGTGTGTGTGTTGGTATGTTGATGTGCCTAATGAGTTCCCAGCAACACTCGTCAATGGAATGCGATACGTAATGAATGCATCATGACTTATAGAAATTAATTTAATACAATCTTAATTAACAACAACGAAATAGGGATATAATAATTTATGATTAAATAATTTCTTTTGAACAAGTTTTTGGAAACAAATATCAATAGGGATTCATGGAAATCTCTCAAGTGTTGCCTGGACCCTTGTCTTTACTTGATAATGCATATGTGTGTGTGGGTGTGTGTATGTCTTATGTGGTGTGGTGCAATTAATACTATGCATGTGCAGCTGCGCTCCATTCGAATCCTCTCTGGCACTAACTAGAACTAAGTACGCTAAGTGGGCTAAACTCTAATGTTTGATCACACAGATTTGGGGGGAATTGCGGGTTCAGTTCACGGCTCACATTCGCGTGCCCACATTGGCGCGCTGGCTGGGCTGGGGGGCGTGGCGCGGCAGAGAGACGTGCGACATGTGAGTGGGCGGCCCGCCCAGGGGCGAAATCGATGGCGAGCGCGTTGCCAGCGGCGAGAGCGAAGGCGAAAACGAAGGGGACATGGCCGAGGAGGTGCTGAAGCCGCCGCTGGCCTCGTGGCCGATGGGCGAACGTGGTAGACCGGACATGCTGAGGTGGGGCGGCAGGCGCAGGCCACCCGCATTGCCCAGCACGGGCAGATTGATGGCGCGCGGGGCCACGTTGGTCAGCAGCGGTGGTGGTATGTGTGCGGGTGGTGCCTTCAGCACCACACTGCCAGCGCCCGATGAGTGCGAGGAGTGGGCCAGGGACTGTTTGCTCTTCGCGCTGGACGAGGCGCCGCTGCCGCTGTGACCGCTGTGCTCCGACATCGTGTCGTCCTTCAGTCTTGCTATCTCCGAGAAGACGTGCGCCAGCGGCTGGTACTGCGGGCCCCAGTCGAGCAGGTAGTCCCAGTTGTAGCTGCCCGTCAGCTCCTCCTCGCTGTGCACAATGGAGCTGAGCGAGCCGCCCACATTGCTGCCGCCCACCACGACGGGCACCGGCACCGGCACTGGCACCTCGCCATAGCTGGCCATCACGCCGTGGCCATGGCCGTGGCCCACTGTGCCGATGCTGCCCGCCGTGGTGGCCGCGTCGTCCGCACTGCTGCCCCGTTCCGAACCAGCGCCGGCCACATCGTTCAGCTTGGCGTAGATCAGATTCGTGATGTCCGAGCGCGCCGTTTCGTCCGCATCGAACATGTGCAGCGTGGGCATGGGCATGGCCATGGGATGGCTGGAGCCGGCCATGCTGGAGGCGGCGCCGGTGCCACCGCCACTGGGATCATGGTCCACGATGCCCAGGCGGGCGAGGTACTCCTGTGTGTTCTGCACCGAGATGTCCGAAATGCGTCCATCGTCGCTGCCGGCGCCGGCGCCAGCACGGTGGCTCAATGGCCCCTCGTTGATCATGCGGATCTCCTCATCCTCGCCATCATCTTCCGCCGAGCCGCGGCCACTCGAGCCCGACTGCTCGGAGCCGGAGAGCTCAGATGTGGTTGCTGCGCCCGAGCTGCCCGCATGCGGGCCGAACGGCGGAATTTCATCGTACTTGGGTGGAGCAAACTGGCCGGAGGCCACAGCACCACTGGCACCGCCCGCTGCCGTCATGCCGCCGCGTATGGGCATGGTGTCGAAGGCACTGGGATCCACATAGCTGTTGGAGTTGCCTACGCCCACCGTTTCGCTGCTCAGATGTGGCTTGACGGCGTTGCGCGGCCGTCGGCTGCGCATGTGGATGAAGAGGAAGATGCCCGCGGCGGCGCAGAGGATGAGCAGGAGCGTGACTAGCACACCGACAATCCAATCGCTGGGCGAGCCGCCAGAGCCACTGGCACCGCCACCGGCCGCGCCGCCACCCGCCGCACCACCGGCCATGCCGATGGAAGCGAGGTTCGTGTTGGGATGTGCCAGCGGATCCAGCGCGATCTCCACGACGGTCATGTTCGTCAGCGAGTTGTGGCGGCCCGACGAGGCCGAGATCACCAAGCTGATATCGCGGCCGTCGTCGATGAGGCTGTCGTCTAGCTTCCTTTTGATCAGCACCGCGCCGCTACTGCGATTCACCTTGAAGTGGCTGTGTGGTGCGCTTAATTGGTAAACCACACGCCCGTCCGCACCGCTATCGGCATCTGTGGCCGTCACCTGCCCGACGACAAAGCCCAGCGGCAGCGCCGTCGACGCTGGCAGCGCGAACCGATATGTGCGCTCCGTGAACTGCGGCGTGAACTCGTCCCGCGACTCAATCTCAACGCGCACCGCCACCCGAGCGCTCCGTCCGCCCATGTCGCTGGCTCGCAGCTGCAGATTGTAGCGCTGCCGCTGCTCGTAGTCGAACACTGCGCCCGAGCTGACAATGCCCGTGGCGGCGTCCACGCGGAACAGACGCCACGAGCTGTCATCGCCAGCTGCCGCCACCAGGCTATAGTTCAGCTGGCCAAAGGCGCCGCGATCCAGATCGCTGGCATGGGCCCGAAACACGGAGCTGCCCAGCGGCTCGTTCTCGGCCAGCGAGTGAACGTATTCGGCCAGCGGAAACTGCGGCGCATTGTCGTTCTCGTCGTGCAGCGAGAGGTGGAAGCTCTGCAGGCTGCAGAGTGGCCGCGGCTGGTGGCTGTCGCAGGCGCGTATGATCAGCTCATAGCTCGTCGCGCCGCTATCGTAGTCCAGGCGGTTGTTGACGAAGAGCACTCCGCTCACCAGGTCAATGGTGAACATGTGCTCGTCGTTGCCGGAACTGATGTCGTAGACCACCTCAGAGTTGGGCGTGTTCTCCTGGTCGGCGTCCAGCGCGAGCAGCTGGGCAATCGAATAACGCAACGGCGCCAGCTCGCTGATCTCTGCCTCGTACTTAGCGCTGGGATCGAAGATGGGCGCATTATCGTTGGCGTCCAGCACGCTGACAAAGACCGTAATGCCGGTGCTCGAATTGGAGCTGGAACTGGAGCTGGAGCTAGTGGCCGCTGTGTTGCCGTTGCCTTGGCTGAGCTGCAGCTGCAGCTTGTAGAGATCGTTGCGTTCCCGGTCCAGCAGCTTGACCAGCACGAGCGCCTTGTTGGGCAGCAGCTCGAAGGCGGCTTCCTCGTTGCCCGCGACAATGGCGAGTGCCTGATCCTTGACATCCTGCCCGAGCTGCAGCACAACTGAGCCGAGCGGCGCCGCCTCGCTGATCTGTGCGCGATATTGGGTCTGCAGGAACTGCGTGCGGCCCGCACCGCTGTCATCCGGCTGCACGCGCAGCAGCGTGGCACCACTCAGCTGCGGCTTGCCCGCATCCCGCGCCACAATGCCCACAAAGTAGTCCCCGCTGCTGGACTCAGCGGCTGGCAGGTGACTCATGTTGACCGAGACCACGCCCGTCGTGGCATGCACGCTGAAGCCGGCCACTGGTGGCTCGATGTGGTAGCTAATCCTTGAGTTGCGACCCTCGGCATCCGCGTCTGTGGCATTCACCGTGACCAGCTCCACGTCCATGGAGGAGCTCTCCAGCAGCTCCGTGGCTGCCGGCAACAGCGCAAAGTAGGCGGGTGGCTTCTGCGCCACAAATCTGGGCGCATTGTCGTTCTCATCGGCCACTCTGACGGTGAGTGTGGTGCGCGCCTCGTGTGCTGCATCAGACGCTATTATCTCCAATTGGTACTCCTGCTGCAGCTCGTAGTCCAGGCGGCGCTTCAGCACCAGCTTTCCGCTATAGCGATCAAGGCTGAAGTGCATCAGATTGTCCCTCTCCACGGGTGAATCGTTGCCCAGACGGTAGGTTAGCGAGGGGTAGGTGTCCACATCGTTGGCCGACAGCGAGGCTATCACAGCGCCCAGTTCGGTGGCTGCAAAGAGACAGAGTAAGAGAGAGAGAGAGAGAGAGAGAGAGAGAGAGAGAGAGAGAGAGAGAGAGAGAGA